ACACAACACCCCCCTATCCGTAAAAAAAAACAAAAAAACTCTCCATCTCCCTCTCCCTCTCCCTCTCCCTCTCCCTCTCCCTCTCCCTCTCCCCTCTCCCTCTCCCTCTCCCTCTCCCTCTCCCTCTCCCTCTCCCTCTCCCTCTCCCTCTCCCTCTCCCTCTCCCTCGTTCCCCATCATCTTCCACTACCCTGACGAGCTGCTGCAGGTGGAAGGAGACGTGTTCGCTCTCGTGACGTGGGGCTCCGACTTGTTCGCAGGCGGGGCGATGAAGGCAATCGACGGGTTGAGCGTCAACGGCTTTGCCCGCCTCTCCCTCCTCCAGGACTACTCCCAGTACGCCAACCCCTGGGCTGCTGTCGGGCTTGGCATCAACGGCTACGTGACAAGCATGGTCACAGCTGACGACTGCGTGTACGCTGTTGGCGCTATCGACAGGGTCTTCTCCTCCCCAGGGCAAGGAGCAGCAGCGAGCAACGGCTTCAGAGTCTGCAGAGCTAGTGGGTGGGAGGAGTACGAGGCGTTTGTGGAGGACGAGAATCGGACAAGCTCGATCTTGTACGTGATCGCGCCTGCGGGAAGAACAGTCCATCCCTCCTCCCTCCTTCCTCTCCTCAACTATACCAACTCGACTTGGACCAACTCCACCAACTCTAGTGTCATATAAGCCATTCATTAAAAGGTCACGATGTCTGCTGCGGGAACGGAGGCTTCACGATGATCGCATGGCACTTTGAGTTGCGACTGCGGGGCATTCAGCACAAAGTTTTCCCTCCATTCCCCTCCCCCTCCTTTCCCTCCTCTCCATCATCAAGTCGCTTCCTCCTCTACCTGCAGTAGAGGGCCGTCGAGCCCAGGTCGATCAAGGACTCGCGATTCTTCGCGCCGTGTGCAGTGTTGATGGACCCGAAGACCTGTTTCAAGGTGAGATGGAAGGAGAGCAGCTGAGCAACGAGCACCAAAAAGTCGGCCTCGAACCTCTCCGATGCTCTGATCAGATGCTCTGCTGCCGTTCCCTCCCCGTCCACCTGAGATCCATCACTCAGGCAAGGTGCAGGAGGAGGGGAGGACAGAGAGAGGAGACGAGGAGGGGGAACTGAAACAAGCGGGTAGGGGGAGCGAAGAGAGTGCACCTGCTGAAGCCATATGACCTGTGAGGAGAGTTTCTTCTTGGTAGCCATGGCGCTTGTCTGAATGAACTGCTGAGCTTTCTCGATGATTGCGACGTCATTGGGACCCTGGTTCTACACCTCAACTCCCCTCCCATACCCGCCAGATGTCTTCACCTTGTGCCTGCTCACCGTCACACAGACAAGCTTGTCGCCATCTCTCGCAAGGAAGATCACCTGCAACTTGTCAGGCCTCCCCCATCGCCCCTCCTCCTCCTCCTCCTCCCCCTCCCCCTCCCCCTCCTCCCACCTTCTCGAGCCCTTCGTTTGCAGCAGGGCTTCCATCCAAGCAGACCAGAAACGTGGCTCCTTCCCCCTGCTTCGGAACTGGCCGCCAGTGTTTCACAACCACCTGGGCGAGCATCAAGAGCAGCAGCAGCAGGGAGGAAGGGACCATGGTGTGATTACACAGACGCAGCATGTAGTCAGTGACTGACCCCATCTCTCCCACCTGGACCTTCGTCAGCTCCTCCCACACACCCTTCAGCTATCACCCGCTTCCCTCCGACTCCGAACGATCCCATGAAGACGTAGTCCGCTTGGAAGCTCTTTGCGATGCAATCCAAGATGACGGCAACTACAGCAGGAGCATGCTCGCTCGTCCCAACAGACTCTGCGTATTCCAGACTCGCAACCTGCCCGACATCAGCTCGAGCTTGCAAGGTCGTGCCCGCCACCAACCTTGACAAGCTCTTCGGAGGTCTTGTACTCGAGGGGGAACGTTTGAGACTTGAGACGTCCCGGTCCCTTCAGGTCATAGTTCCTCCTAACAGCAACAAGATCAGCAGGACATCTCGACAACAAGCACAAGCAGCACCTTGCACGGATGAGGTTGGTTTCATACTGCTGAAGAATCCGTGGCGACTGAAGGTGTATCGGCTTCTCGAGATCCATCTGTGTTGGAACAAGAATCATGGCACGGGGACTCACGGCAAAGATGCAAGATGCAAGATCTTGATGACAAAGATCGATCATGCAAGTCAAGGAAGAGTCCTCACCATCTTGTCATACGCATGAATGACGGCGACCTCGTTGGTCCTCCCCTCGGTGTTCTAGAGTTCCAAGAATCGTTGGATACAAGAATGAAACTGCAGCCAAGGAAGACAAACCTGGCCGTTGATGAAGTAGCACAGAGAATCGAAGGCCTTGCCACTCACAGAGCTGCCATCCACCAACACACACCACCGCAAGTCTGACTCACTTCGACCCGGCATGATCAGCTCCTGCAAGTCGGGTGACGATGTCAGAGGCAAGACATGGAAAAGAGGAGGGGGGGGTGGAGAGGGAGGGAGGGAGGGAGGGAGGGAGGGAGGGAGGGAGGGGGGGAGGGAGGGAGAAGAGGAAGACCACAGGGACTATTAAGTTGCCATGACGACTGAGATCGCTACCTCTCCACCCTGCCTCCCCTCCCCCTACTTCGCTCTCCTAAGTTCATCATTGGTTACTCCCCTCGCCATCGCTTTCTTAACTGCCAGTCGTTACAGACCGTTGCACTTTTACAGTCAGCAATAAAATTATTGGTTGCCAAGTTCAAGGCGCGCCGGGCCCGGCGGACTCACTGTCAGTCCCGGTCCGGGAGGCCAGCCTGGCGGCTGAGGCCCGCGCCGGCGGGCGGCAGGCCCGGACCAGGGCCCGGGACATGATCGGATCCTGGTCGAGCAAGACTATCGAGCCCTTTTTTGACTCGGTGAAAGTTAAGTTACAAGTTAAAAATCAGCCTGTCCCCCCGGGCCCAAACTTAACTGATACCTTCACTTACTCAAAGTTAAGTTAAAAATCAGTACGAGGACAATACCAGTGGCCGGTTATCACCGTTGAAGGATGCCCGGCGCCGCCGGGCGCGGCCCGGCCCGCCGGCGCAGCCGGGGACTCCCGAGACTCAGTCCCCGGGGAGGCCGGCTCAACCTACTGAATTTACACTTCGAATTTCCTTGCATCGAAATGCACGGAATTTGCGCGCAAAGTGAAATGCGGTGCGATGCGCTGGAGCTGTTGCTCTCTCCGTTGCCCCTCAGCGCCTTCCTTGAGAGTCTTGGTGATGTCGCAGAGGAGAGGAGCAGCCATGGCAGCAAACTGAGCCATCCCTCCGCTCACAGCCATGGCCCATGCGCGCACAAGAGCAATGATGCGCTTGACTTCCTGCTCCCAGCCATGCCCTCAGGTTGCCTCCCGCAGAACCTCATCTGCAAGAGTCCACCAGTGAGGTGTGTCCCTGTCCAGCAAGGTCATCAGGGCTGCGAGGATAGTTTCATCCACCACATCCATACCAATTCAAGAATCATTATCTCGCATTGGAAGGTAAGCCTGTGATATCTTGATGCATTCCTAGTGCTTCATGTGCTGATAGCTCTGCCCTGCCCAGAAAGCAATCAAAGGAACTACGTATGAGGACACTTTCAGGAGCCAGATGCAGCACCTGCAGTCGATGAAAGCTGGCGAAAGCAAGATCTTGTTCTTGGCTTTCCTGCACGTCAGCTTCATAGAAGGCTTCATAGACATGAAGTATGACTACCGCAACCATGATGAGTCTTTGAGCGGAATCACCGCATTTTGTGCAATTTCGAACCCGCGTTTCAGGTTCTTCAACAGGTTATGGCGATCCTTCCCTCGTCTCCTTCCATAATCCTCAACATCGACATCTGACATTTTCCAACCAGGCTTCTCTCCCTGAAGAACGGTTCATGGCCTGCTTTCACGGGGCCCGTTTTCGACTCGTTTCTCGAGCTCCCTGAGAGAGAGCAGCTCGCTCTGTGCAAGATGCTGGTTACGGTCAATGTGGGACCATACGGAGGCGACTGGCTGCGAGCTTTCAACGAGCAGACGGTCTTTATCTTCTGTGAATGAGCAGGATTGGCCTGAAGGCTGTGATGATGACTCCGAGGGCTCATCAGGAGGACAGGGTAGGAGAGAAGGTGTTGTTTTGATCTCCTCGGAGGCCACTCGCAGAATCAATGTGCCTTCGGATTTTCTTGAAAAGGGGGAGGGGGAGGGGGGGGGTCAACGCTTCATATTGAATCGTTGAATCATCGGGCGTTTTGGCTTCATCAAGACAGATTCCACAAGAAGTTTCGAGAAGCAATACCACATTGTGACAAGATTGTTCCAAAAATTTCATTGGAATCGGCTCTATTTGTGATGAACCGAGGGTAGAAGCTTTTTCATCTCAGACATGGCCTGGGGATCAGAAGCGAGCTTTGAGCATGCCTGTGATTATCAGTTAGATTATTTACATCTTTATGATACAAAACTTCACCTTTTCATTGCCATTCGCACAATCGACAATCGTTGAGGACTTCCCACGGAGAGAGCCATGAGCAAACTCGCCATCTGTTCAAAGTCACTCCCAAAAGCACAACCCCAATGCAATTCAATACCCTTTGATGCTTCCAAACCCAGTTGCTTCAGACACGTCGTGATCGCAGCCAGGGAATGGAGGTCGTATGGTACACTCTGACAGTGTAAAGTCAGAGGGGTTCCAAACTGTTTCTGATTGCAGAAAGATTTGATACCTGCCAGCTCTTGCCGAAAAACTGTTTCAACTGGGTCCTTGACACAGATCGGATCACTGAATCAGAGTTGCAGAAGTCACTTCGCGTGAACATGTCATGCTCCCTCGCATATCTCCTGAGCTTCGAGAATTCCCATTGCTTGTACTCTTTTTTGTAGTCAGGGATGGGAAGAGAAAAATCTCTGCTCAGCTGCTGTTCTCGAGCGTGATGCGCATGAACAGCATCGACCATCGTGGTCTTGGCTCTTGCTTTCTCTACTGTGGGAGGCTTGAAATGCTGTTCAAGTCTGGTTGTGATCGCCTTTTTGTGTTCTGCATGACTCCGTCTGGCCTTGCCAACACTAGTAGCATGCTCAATCTGAATTTTCTTCGTTTCTTTGGTGGCCGTTCGTTGCAGTGACTTTTTCAACTCTGCTTTCTGCTTTGCTGCAATCCACTTTCTGATCTTAACCATGGCCTGCTTTCTCAAAATCATCTGTGCCAAAGACTTGGCATGCAGCACGAGTTCGTTGGCTTGCTGATCTTCCTCCTGAGCTCTGTTTAGAAGAGACTGACTTTCCAACTCCTTGAACTTCTCAGCTGCCCGCACCTTGCGACTCGCCGAGTGGGATTGCACTCCTTCCTCTGAATTGAGTTCACCCATTCCCCCAAGAGCTTGGAAGAAGGTTGCTTGTTCTTGCTGGTCAGAGGGATCATTGTTGCCAGCCTGAGAGGATAGCAATGCTTCTCGCTGGCCTTCAGTCTTCATGTTTGAGGTAAGACCCACCATGAGGAGAAGGAGCAAGGCAACAGTTGCTGCCAGCATGCTGCTGGTTGAGATTCGCATCGTGTTGTCTAGAAGGCTGTTCCTCCTATGTTCCGTAGCTCTGACACTGAATTCTCTCTCTCCCTCCTACTCTCCTCTCTTTCTCTCTCTCCTCTCTTTCTCTCTCCTCTCTTCAATGAAAGCTGACCAGCAATGCCATCGTTTTTCGTGCCCCTTCACCTCCAAACCTGGCCCTCGTCTCCACCACAACCCCGGGGCCCGTTCGGGCCGGATGGCCCGGCCCCGACACTCAGTGACTGCTGAGCTCAGCTCTTGAATGATTCACTGAGTCATGCTGCAGGGATGGATCGGACCGGACCGGGTACCAGAGGTTGAGTTAAAATGTGGTACATCACCGCGGCACGGTGCCCCGACCCCTGAGGCCCCCCTATGCCATTTCCTATCGGCCTGCATTGTACCCGGCCATACTACGGTCGGCATCTAGTACCCAGGCTGGCATGCCTTACGGTGACCAATTTACTCAAATTAGTAAGTCAAAAATCAGTACGAGGATCGGACAATCGCTCGGGCCGTGACTTTAGCAAACCGAACGGTACGGTAGTAACGAGGGACCCCTCAAGGCAGAGGCTCGTCAGGGGAGGGGGAGGGATGGGGTACAGGTGTAGTATTGAGGGACGTGAGAGACCGGGGGAAAAAGAACCAGGTACCCCCCCTTAGAAGACATATACCTTATCATTTCCACCCCTGTTTCTGGCAGGAGATGTAACTAAGGGTAGGGGTACTTGATAGGGCTCTCCCGATAGGAAGAGGGTGGGGGTACGAATGTTTATGTTTCCCCGACAACGGGAGGGGATCCATCGAGTTCTCCTGCTCCTCCTGCTCCTCCTGGCTTCCCATCTTGCTCCTCCAGCTTCGACGACTACTTCACTTAGCTCGTAGCAAGTTCTCCTGCTCGGCCTTCCATTGCGTACGTTGGTTAAAAGATTCTTCATTTTGCGAGAGCAATCCTACCTAGAAAGTATTCTTGAAAGCGATTGCACGGTCCCTTTCAGAATCAGGCCAATCATCGGTAGATGTGCAGCAAGAATAGCAAGAATGTCGTTCTGCCTGGGAAAGCGTCAGGTGTCAGCACCGCAAGGAACGCAGGCCTTGTCTTGGCAGTGATCTGTGGGATGCTTCTGCGAGATCTCCTGATAAGCTGCATGCATTCTTGTTTTCCAAACAGCCCTTCGCTCGATCAGCAACAAGATCCGACAATGATCGGGCAGGGTAGCGCAAACGTGGGAGAGGAGTTTCGGCTTGTTCTGTCGACCTCGTCCCTGCTGAACATCTCTACCTACGTGCACAACCTCTCATTGACATCGAATGGACTGAACGTCACAAGACTGAAAAAACTATTCACTAGGCTGACAGTGGAGGACATCTTGCTGCTCTCGAGCATGAAGAAAGGAGTCTCCAGGCTAGCAGGAGCAACCCCGGACCCACGAAACGCTTCTAGCAAGATGCAGAACAGCTCCTCGTCCTACAACCTCAGCACCGCAGACAGACGAGCCTCGAGCTCTGCTCTGCTCGCAGGTCAAGCGCTGCAGTCTAACACCACGGGGACCTTCAAGGCTGCTGCAGCATCCGAGGTGGTCCGGCGGAGGATAAGCCTGAGCCCTCTCCTCACCAAGAGCTTTCAAAGGCCGTCAGTGGGCGGAGGCAAGTCAGGTGGGCCGGTATTTGTGTTTTGGGCAGGAGTAGAAGGCACTGGACATCATCTCATCGATCAGCTGGGCAAGAATCACCCTCATGTCCGCACTGACCAAGAAGCCGTGCAGATGACGTGTCTGCTCTGGAACGAGCAGGGTCAGAACGGTCTCTTCAACGTGAGGTGGCATGGAAGCCCAAGGACGGCGAGCTCTGCGATCGCTGAGATTGTCAGACGCTCTCGGCGTAGGCAGCAGTCTCCTTCCTTCTACTTCCTGAGCGGACTAGAGCATAGCTCCAGCTGCTCTACGGGAATGCTCTCATACCCCAACTACGCAGGCCCAAGCGAAAGAACGCCGGACGTGGCCAAGCTTGTCAAGGCGATGCGGCGATCGGAGGCTAACTTCAAGGTGGTCGTCTTGATCCGAGACGCGCTGAGCATCATCTGCTCTTGCTCGATCAAGCGCAACTTCAGGCCCTGGAACGAACAAGCTCAGAGGCTTCGGGCGGCAGCCTTGGACCTGGTCGCTCAGCTTCGACACCTCGACGCGAGCGAGTACATATGCTTGGACTACAATGGGATCGCCGGAGGGTCTTCGGTGGAGACCTTGGACAACTTCCTGTACGACGGGAGAGCTCCAGACACAAGCATAGGGAAGAAGATGAAACAAATCTTCAACAAGCCGAGGTACCAGCCTGCAGCAACGTGCTCTGACTATCAGTGTGATCATGCGTTTGGAAGACAAAGGTATCAGATATCAGAAGGAGAGTGCATGTCAGCGTCAGAGCTACACGATGCGATGGAGGTACTGCGGCAAACGTGTCCCAATCACATTCCAGCAGACATGGTGTCGTTCCCGAGCACAGCGTGAGTGAGTCGGAGGCATTGCAGTCATCACTCGGAGTCAAACTACTATCACTTAGCTTCAAGTTTATATCAGTAGTACTTTGTTTGACCTTTGATTGACTAGTTCAACGGTTGATCCCTTTAACAGCAACACGCCGTGATTGAAGTGCGAGGAGAAACAGACGAGCACAGTAATCGTAGCTCCAACTCCAATCACCCGGCCCCAGCTCCCGGGCCTCTCCGAGTAGACCGGGCCCCGGGCCGGGGCAGGGTGTCAACTTACTAAGTTAGGCTCAGTGACTCGGAGATGAGTAAAGTTGTGATTGAAGAGGGGATGAGGTCCAATAATGAATTGCGGCCGGCAGGACTCAGGGCATGGGAGCAAGAGAAGCGAAGAAAACAGACAGGAGTCAGGAGTCGTGAGGGCGGGGAAGGGTAGAAAGGACGCAGGCAGCCATGTTGCATGGGTTGTGATCTGAGTGAGAACGTTTCTTGCTCGGGTAGAGGATTGTCATGATTCAATCCAGAAAGTTTAATGTGAGATCAATAACTTGATCGGATCTCAAGGTCTCTTCCTCTGAGAGATTTTCTGTGCAGATGAGGTGGCAGAGACATGTAAATTGGAGCATTCTTTGTGTGATCTTGCACTCGATGGCGTACTCGACTTGTTGGGGGGCGAGATTTTGTCAAGATGCCGAAAGGAGGACCTCTCATGGGTTCATGGGGTTTCAGTCCAGCCCCTCCCTGGGATCTCAGGTGAGATCAGCACTCATCCCTTTCGCTGTTTGAAGCTTGTTGCAGGGATGTCTCTCAGCGACAACGCACAAGTATCTCTTATCCCATCTCGATCTTTGATCGCCCTTTGCTGAACTTTCTCTTTCCGTTTAGGATCCTCCCATCAACATGCGTTTCGAGCAGAAGGCGTGTTGCGCGTCGGTTGAACTCGAATGATTTAACTTTCCATTTACCAGGAGACCCTTTGTTGTGTGTACAGCGAAATCCGAGAACAGGTAGAGTCTTCTTTGCAGTTGGATTGCGATCATTCAGTGACGGTTCAGGCAATTGCCATGGCGCATCGGAGGATGCAGCAAGATTCTTCGAGCTGCAGATCAGTCAGAGGTAGTCACAAGCACCTCCATCTGCTCCCGTGATTGATGCTGTCCAGATCTTCTACAGAGTACGTGAACGCCAGGTACAAGAGATTGCGTGGGGGCCTCTGGAAGAATTGGAGAGCGAGTTGCTTCCAAAGGAAGCTCAGTTAGAAGAGGTCTATACAAGGCTGCTTTCATCCAAGTCGCTGATCATGAGATAAAAGATGAAGCTCAAGTATGAAGAGACAGAGAATGAAATCTTTCGGAGCCAAATCTTACCGCTGGAAGTCAAAATCAGACCTCTCAAGGTAAAGCACTACACGTAGAGATTCATGAGTAAGCGTTCGTCCCTCGTGAATAGGAGAAACAAAAGCAGCTTCTGAAACTGAAAAGGAAGGGTGAAAGAATCCTTGGGGCCATTCAACGGCTCAAGAAATCCGCTGTTGAGAAATACCAACCCGAAGGTAGTTTTCTTGCACACAATCGTTGGAGTTCACTGCAGTCCGGACAGGTGAACACGAGGTCTACCTAGCTGGAAGAAATGAGACAGTCACGGCAAAAATGAAGAGAACGTTTGGATTTGCTGCAGAGTGATGTCTTGAAGGTGTTGAAAATTGTCTCCTGATCGAATGAGCAGGCCAGGAGTGAAATTGGAAGCGAATATAGATCCAAAGATGGACGTGAGTTACAGAGGATTTAAGACCCTGCATGAAATTTCTTCCAGGCGATTAGTATTGCAGCACAGTGGGCCACTGAATACCCTGGTAAGATTGATGCTGATATCGCGATCTGACTCGCTGGACAGGACAACCGATATTTATCGATGACCATCTGTTTTCAAGTAATCCAAGATCACTCCTTTGCTCTGCCCCTGATTTTGATGTTTTCAATGACCAGGAATCCTCGTGGGTTTCTCTACTCCAGACGAAGGGTTCACAAAAGTCTGTGCTGTTGCAGAATGGTCCTCGAACTCTGTCGCGAGTAAACCTGATCCTGAAGGCAACAGGAAGGGAGAGGCAAACTCAGCGGAGGCGCAGAGGAAGTACGAGGGTGTGCTCAATGCCATGAGAGCAGATGGACTGAAGCCACTTGAGGAGGTTCGTTCAGACTCTGTTCGGATGGAGTTCATGGGATCTGACCTGAGAGCAAGATCGTCCGCACAACCTGTAACAGCAACACAATACCAATATTTCGACTTAACGAGCTCTGGGTCCCTCTTGATGTGAATTTGATCTTGTGTTTACCAGCGTGTTGATGGACTTGTGTAGCCACCACGAACGGCAGAAGAATGGCTTGAACTCGCTCGTATTCTCAACCTCTCTGATTCCTTGCGGCTGATTGTTTACCAGCCAAGGTTTGCAGCGACATGCCTGCAAAAAATTCAACAATTTATTCTATCAAGGTTGCTTTGCGATGCAATGGAGTTTGGTCTGACTGACTGAAGGATTGCCCCTGGGCATGGCCTAAGCCCCTCTTGTGGGAGGAGGACCCTGATGTAGACGAGGAGGGAAGCATCGCATGGAAGTCGACATCTGCTCTGGTAGTTGAATGATTGTGGTTTGAATTGAGCTGATGAGATTGTTGCACAGAATCAGAATACTTTCACAATGACAGTCTCCCGCCCTACTGAAGGGTTCTGCTACACTTTTCTTGGATGGTCATTTGACGCGATGTACACAGATGGGCAGTCGCGTTTGATCAGTTCGAGACAGGAGAGTTCTCTTTGACGAGGTTACCATAAGAGCCTCTCGACGACCCTAGGACCTGACAGCTTCTCCTTTTCTATCAGAGTTCGTGATGAAGTTTATGAAGGCGACTCGTTGCGGACGTTTGCGGTTGCCAAGCTCGACTGGCCCATCACTAATGAGGTGAGACGCGTCTGTCAGCCCTTATTGCAAATGAGTTCTGCCGTGAAGAGCGTCCAGCGTGCTCGACGAAATTTATTGAAGGAGCTGGAGCAGTCAAGGTCTTAAACATTCGCTTTCTGCCGTCGGAGAAGGTTTGAACGTTTCCTCCAGCAAGGAGGCTGTCGACCCTGCGGCGTTCAGGATCCTCTTCAAGCCGGGAGGTGCGTGGCGTGTCCAAGCGTTTCAAGTCTCTTCTCACCTCAGCTGGCAGACCTGGTGGAGTTGCTCATCGAGTACGAGTAGATCGGACCGGGACCGTCAGACGACTTTTGCCTGCCCGCCTCAGGCGAGGGCGGGTAAGGCAGACTGGCTTGTAAGGGCTCTACACATAAAGACCCATTACTGCCCTCCCCTACACACTCTCTTCCATGGTCCTTGCTCGCTGGCTGCTTGCCGCTCTCATGGTGGGAGAGGTCGGGGGCTTCATGTCGGCTGTGCGGTCCTTGTCGTCAACAGGGAGACAGGAGGCGAGGATAGAGACGGTCAGCGAGGGATGGAGGAAGGGATGGAGGCTGGGGAGCGAGGGGAGGAGAAGACGGCTATCGGGGAACGTCGTTACCAACTTGGTACCTCTTGCCTGACCCCCAACTCCCCGGCATCTTTCTGATGAGCTTCTCATCAGTATGCCGTCAGCTCCTTTACCAACCCGCAGGATATTCTGAGCAAGGCAGCAGAGGTGCGAGCTGACTGAGCTCCCTGTTGACACGTGACGTGGGTTTCTTGAGCTCAGCTGGGGTTGAAGCTGAAGATGAAGTCCTATGGGAGGGTAGAGGTACATGTGACGAGCTCGCCGGGGTGAGAAGACAACATCTTGCTGCTGTCTCCTCCTTGACTTCTCCTTCGCAGGAGGATCCTGTCCGGCAAGGTGGACGCAGTTCAGGTGAGGTCGTGTGTGTGGAGGGCGAGGGTCCGTCAAGATCACCAGGTGTCCGGGAGAGCATGGGAGTCCCCCCTCAGTCTGACGTGCAGGATGATCGACGTGGCTGTGGGAGATGCAGCGGTGGACTTGATGGGGCTGGTGCAGGTGACGCCTGACGTGATGGTTGGCTGCTTTTGACGGCAGGTGAGCAGAATAGAGAGATACGAATGCTCAAGACGGCCCGAGGATCAGCTGTGGTGTACTTTGACAGCAGGTAGGATGGGGGAAGGGAGGGAGCTGGAAGTGGAGGAAGGAGATGATTGAGCGATGAGCAGGGACTGGGGAAACTTTCTCTGCCATCCCCTTGTCGCGTCAGCAAGGCTCGGGGACGACGATCAGTTCGTCTTCAGACGCGTCGGCAAGGCGAGTAGCTGAATGAGAGGTGAAGGTTCCTTGAGATGATGTTGCTTGCCACGGGCAGGTGGATACTAAAGGGGGAAAGGCTACCTTCAGCGGAACATACAAGGGTTGTGCGATGGGCGAGGGGAGTTTGATGATTGACTTGTTGTACCTCAGGACAGCAGTTCGACCTTTACTTGTCCAAGGATGGTGCAGGAGAGCTCATTGTTGGAATAGAGAATGTCTGTGAGAAGATTTGTTATACCTCCTGGTCTGAACTTTATCTGGAAGGATTTGACGTCAACAACAAAGACCATGACGACTGCGACAGCGTCATACTCTACAACAACATCCACAGCAACAGCAGCAACAGCAACAGCAACAGCAACAGCAAAAGCAGCCACTACATCAGCAACAGTATCAACGATCGATCTGTGCCAGTGAGTGCTTCTTGAATAATCATGCTTGACAGATGCTTGTCTGATTGACATGCGGACGCAGAAAGCTCAAGGTTTGGTTTTCAAACCTCGAGATCAACTTGGACGGCGCAAGGTGAGCGAGCGGTTTTCAGATATTGTCATTCATCGCATTTTCAGGTTTCGATTCAAGAATTTGCAGTTCGCGCGATTCGGTGAGATGAGAAATCGAGAGGAGAGGAGTGGAGAGGAGCGGAGAGGAGAGGAGAGGAGAGGAGAGAGGAGAGAGGAGAGAGGAGAGAGGAGAAGACGTTTCTTTACAGAATGACTCTTCTTCCTCTCTGTCTGCAGACAATCTCGTCCTGGAGCTGGACATCGCAGTGGACAAGTTCCCCAATCCCATCACGACGACGTTCTGAAGTCAAACAGCACAGGATCAAGTCACCCTTACTTCCTCTGCCAGCAGCTCCTCTTGTTCGTCATGATCTGCCATGGAAACAAGTGTAAGATGGTTACTGTCTCCCTCCCTCGCTCCCTCCACCTTGAGTACGCACGTCCCCTCGTTCACGACGTCCGTCTTCTTCATCAGCTTCCTCTGAACCGCTTGTTGTCAACACTTGCTACCCTCCTCCTCCTCATTCCCTTTTCCCTCCTCCTCCTCTTTCTCCTGCTCGCCTTCCTGCTTCAAAGATCCTCCTCCTCGTCCCTCTATTTCCTCTCCCCCGTCCTCCTCCTCCTGTTCCCCTCCTCCTGTCTCCCCTCCCCCCTTTCTCGTCCTCTTCCTTCCTGTCCTCTCTCGTCACCTGCTCCTGGTCTATCCTGCACTCCGCCCGGATGAAATCTCCGGATATCATCTGAGAGGAGGAGCTCAACTTCACCATTCCCTCCTCCCTCCTCCTCACCTGCCATGGCGGCCGTTTCATCGTCTCATACACGTCCTGTACCGAGCTCCCTGCCATGGAGGGATCAGCCCGGTCGGTCGGTCGCTCCTCCTTCCCCTCACCCGGCTTCATCACGATTACGTCGCGCAGAATGTGATCTGAGCCTGCTGCACAAGTCGAGAACCAGCTTCCTGCGACCCCGAGACTTTCTTGCCGCTGCAACGAGCTTGAGGATGGGCGAGGAGAAGGAGCAAGGAGGATCGAGGAGGAGAAAGTGAAGGAGAAAAAGAAGGAGTGAGGAGAAGTAGTGAGGAGGAGGAGGAGGAGCGCGGAAGAGCGAGGAGAGAGGAGGGGGAGAAGAGAGGAGGAGCGAGGAGCGAGGAGCGAGGAGCGAGGAGGAGGTGGAGGTGGAGGCACCTGTACGGGTCCCTCACACCGACAGGTCTCCAGGTCAGCCACAGGGAACACGAGGAGGGGAGGGCGAAGGTGAACGGCAGCGTTGACGAGCTCAAGCACTCCCGTAGACCCTCCCAGATTCGCCATAACGTCCTGCACCCACCGCAGCTCCTCCCCGAAGGTGGATAAAGGACTGATGACGTGGACATGGCGGGAGCCAGGACTGTAGTCGACCCTCCCCTCCCGTCGCCACCGAGAAAGTCTGAGCTCGGCGAGAGCGCTGACTCGAGCATGCGGCTCCTTGTCGTACCTTCGCAGCAGCTCCTGCACGTGCCCCTCCGAGTCCGGGTGGTCGCACTTGTTGAGGGCGAGGAGGATGGGGAACCTGACCCGGAGGAAGTGAGCGACGAGCCGGTGAAGGTCGATGGGCATCCAAAGGCGGAGCTTAAGGGGAAGTATCAGCAGAGCCAAGGAAGAAGAAGGAAAAAAAAAAAGAGACGAAGACAAAAGGAGAAGGGCAGAGACGTCCGAGGAGAGGAGAGAGGAGAGAGGAGATGAGGAATGTAGAGGTAACGAAAAGATTTTGGGAGCATAGAAGAACGAAAAGAGGAGAAAACAAGGGGCTGGTGGAGAGGTGGCAAGAAAAAGATTTCAAGAATCATGAAACTCACTTCCTCCGACGATATTGTCTTCAGATCAACTCCCATCCTCTTCAGAGCTGCTGCGGCTACCGCGCGAGACGCATGGTAACCGCTGAGCAGCTCGACCAGTCGATCGACGCCGAGCCGGACGACGGAGGCCCACTTTGCTTGTATGTTGTTGTAGATCCAGCGATGGATCTCGTTTCGTACCCATGCCACGTCATCACTCGGTCTGTAGACATCCTGCTCCTCCTTTGCCTTCTCCTCTCTTCTCCCGAGCCCGGAGAAAGAAGCTTCCGTCGGGTTGCCGCCTTTGTCAGTCCCTCCCGACGCGTCCACCACATGGATCAGCACGTCTGCTCCACACAGGTCGTTGAGGAACGCGTTCCCGTGCCCTCTGCCCTGGTATGCCCCAGGCACAAGACCAGCCACATCGATCACCTGGATCGGCAATAGCCGCTCGCCGTTTCCAGCGAAGCCATGGGCAGGCGTCATCGTGCCCTCTACATCCTTGGCAGGGGAGGGGCAGGGGACAGTGAAGTAGCCCTGACCTGTGTTGGGAAGGATCGTCGTGAAGGGGAAAGACTCCATCCTCGCATCGTCCTCGGGCCTGACTGGGTTGACAAGGGCGTTGAAGAGTGTTGACTTGCCCGCTGACGGCTTGCCGACCAGACCTACCACGAAGTTCCACTGCCCTCCCTTCCCCTCAACCTGATTATGATGCTCATCGCTCAACCTGTGGAGATGATCGTACTTGGCTGCGTCCTCGCTCGCCTCCTCCACAAGACCCTCGTCGTCCCCGGCGTCCTCCTGGCCACTAATCAGCAGTCCAGCCAGCCCTTCGAGGTTGCTGGAGTCAGTTGCAGCTTGTTCAGCTCGCTCTCCGCTGTCAGGTGCTGCAGACACCTCAGGAGGATGGTTGAACATCCATTCCTTGACGACGTTGATGACGTCAAAGATCATCGGGTTCCCCTTGCTGCCCTCGCACTCCCCCCGAATGCGGTCGAACATGGCTGGGTCCACCTGCTTCAACCCCTTCACCTCTACCTTGGGAATAGCCTCGTCTGGATAGTCCTTGGGGAGGAGGATCTTGACACTGACAAGAGCATCCACCTCGGACAGGCGGACATGAACCATCGGGGGCTCTAGGCAGGACTCCAAGACGTCATCGCCGAAAATGGCGGCTACCGCTTCAAGCTCATCCTGTTGGCATGCTGAGGCTGCGAAGCAAGGAGCGTCGCTCTCCTCCTCGGGCTGCATCTGTCTGCGCAAGAAAGCCTCATACACGTCAAGATCCGCGGCCTTGCAAGGGAAGATGTGACTGTGGTTGTGACAATGGCTCTCCGCTCCCTTGAACAAGGACGACAGTCGTTGGCTCTCCTCCACCGTGACAGCCTCGTCCTCCGTACCCATTATGTGAAGCGACGGCACCTTCAGCTCTCCTGCAAGACCTGCCTCCTCCACCGCGCTCGTGGCGTATCCTCCAGAAACCATGATGAACCGCAAACTTCTCAACGGATGGCCCATCGGCAGTCCAGCAGCCTTTGCTGCAATCTCTGCCGCCAGAGCAGCTCCCTGGGAAAACCCAACGATGCCGTCGAACCTCGTCCCTTGGAAGGCATCCTCCACCTCCCTATGAGCTGCTCCCCCCCCTCCCCTCTCCTTCCGACCCCCTCCGTTCCACCAGCATCGCATCGGGACCATCTGCCCCTCGGATAGAGGCAGCTCAACAGGCCCATCGAGGAAGTGGAAGTCGGCGAAGCTCTGACATCTGGCAGTAAGAGGAGAAAGCCTCTGAGAGAAGATCTCCCCGCACTGCTGGCTGCCATGCAGGCAAAGCACTTGCAGCCGCCCTCCCGCCGGCATGGCCTCCCCGACACTCCTGTCGACAAACATCTTCAATTCTCAGTGTCCGGCCCGGGCCCGGCCCGGGGCCCTGAGCCCGACCGAAACTGAGGCCACCGCAGTAACGAGGCGATCATCGGATGGCGAAATCGATCAGTTGAGAGTCATCAATCTACTTCATTCACATACCAACATATCAACTGCATACTCTGTGCTCACTCACGCTGTGCTCGGGAACGACACCATGTCTGCTGGAATGTGATTGGGACATGTTTGCCGCAGTACCTCCATCGCATCCTGTAGCTCTGACGCTGACATGCACTCTCCTTCTGATATCTGATAATTCCAGCCAAATTTCCGACCACACTGATAGTCAGAGCACGTTGCTGCAGGCTGGTACCTCGGCTTGTTGAAGATTTGTTTCATCTTCTTCCCTATGCTTGTGTCTGGAGCTCTCCCGTCGTAGAGGAAGTTGTCCAAGGTCTCCACCGAAGACCCTCCGGCGATCCCATTGTAGTCCAAGCATATGTACTCGCTCGCGTCGAGGTGTCGAAGCTGAGCGACCAGGTCCAAGGCTGCCGCCCGAAGCCTCTGAGCTTGTTCGTTCCAGGGCCTGAAGTTGCGCTTGATCGAGCAAGAGCAGATGATGCTCAGCGCGTCTCGGATCAAGACGACCACCTTGAAGTTAGCCTCCGATCGCCGCATCGCCTTGACAAGCTTGGCCACGTCCGGCGTTCTTTCGCTTGGGCCTGCGTAGTTGGGGTATGAGAGCATTCCCGTAGAGCAGCTGGAGCTATGCTCTAGTCCGCTCAGGAAGTAGAAGGAAGGAGAATGCTGCCTACGCCGAGAGCGTCTGACAATCTCAGCGATCGCAGAGCTCGCCGTCCTTGGGCTTCCATGCCACCTCACGTTGAAGAGACCGTTCTGACCCTGCTCGTTCCAGAGCAGACACGTCATATGCACGGCTTCGTGGTCAGTGCGGACATGAGGGTGATTCTTGCCCAGCTGATCGATGAGATGATGTCCAGTGCCTTCTACTCCTGCCCAAAACACAAACACCGGCCCACCTGACTTGCCTCCGCCCACGGACGGCCTTTGAAAGCTCTTGGTGAGGAGAGGGCTCAGGCTTATCCTCCGCCGGACCACCTCGGATGCTGCAGCAGCCTTGAAGGTCCCCGTGGTGTTAGACTGCAGCGCTTGACCTGCGAGCAGAGCAGAGCTCGAGGCTCGTCTGTCTGCGGTGCTGAGGTTGTAGGACGAGGAGCTGTTCTGCATCTTGCTAGAAGCGTTTCGTGGGTCCGGGGCTGCTCCTGCTAGCCTGGAGACTCCTTTCTTCATGCTCGAGAGCAGCAAGATGTCCTCCACTGTCAGCCTGGAAATCACTTTTTTCCATTTCATGACGTTCAGTCCATTCGATGTCAATGAGAGGTTGTGCACGTAGGTAGAGATGTTCAGCAGGGACGAGGTCGACAGAACAAGCCGAAACTCCTCTCCCACGTTTGCGCTACCCTGCCCGATCATTGTCGGATCTTGTTGCTGATCGAGCGAAGGGCTGTTTGGAAAACAAGAATGCATGCAGCTTATCAGGAGATCTCGCAGAAGCATCCCACAGATCACTGCCAAGACAAGGCCTGCGTTCCTTGCGGTGCTGACACCTGACGCTTTCCCAGGCAGAACGACATTCTTGCTATTCTTGCTGCGCATCTAACAGATAGCCCTGCTGCACCAGCAGCGACAGGAGAGGTGTTGATTGGTTAGCTTTGCCTGCTCGCTGGTGGAGAAGGGCAATGGATCTCGATTTTCTCTGTCCGAATCAGAATCGATGCTGAAGAATATTGGAGGATGAAAGGAGAGTAAGGAGATGCGGCGAAGTGGTGAGGAGAGGAGCGGGGGCTTGCGGAGAAGGGGGGGGGGAGAGAATCGCAAGGCTGCGAGGGCAGCAGGAGCGTGAGGATCTTTCCCACTTGTTGCCTTGTCGGGGAAACTCAGAACCCTGTCTGACCACCCCAGGTGCGTCATCCCAGAGGGGTGGGGTGATGTGGGTTCCAAACTAGGGTAGTCCGAGCGTTGGGGTGCAACATTTTGTAGGGTGGGGGTGATGATGGATGGGGTTCAGGGGCTAGGGGGGTAGGGGTTGACTTCCTCTCTTCGTCACGTCCCTCACTACAACGCCTGCACCAGTGCGAATGGCCTTCCCTAGACTGCACCAGTACCCCTCCTTCGAAGCCATCCACAAAGGGTGGTGCGCAGATGAGCGAGGGGTGGTCAAAAGATAGGGGGCACGTAGGAGGCCTACGAGCAAGGGGGTAGGGGGTTGGGGATCGGTGCAGCACTTGGTAGTGTCGTGGCGCATAGGGATACAGGGGTGGTACACGGAGAGGAGGACGGAAGGGTAGGGGTGGTGATGAGGCTGTTCCATTATAAGAGGCTTTCAACCTTATCTAAAACTCTCCCCAGATTTTTTTACTTATTGACTGATATGACTAAAAGTTTGTACCCAGCCGGGTGACTTTTGTTGAGAGAGTACAAGTCTGTGATCGATGTATCGATGTATCGGCCTGATGACTGAGCAGAGGCCTGGTCGGCAGGTCACTTGACAAGCCGTGACTCCCTGGCTGCAAGGATCTTCTTCAGCGTGTGCGCGAGGACCTGGACAGCATGAGCTGGCGGGAGAGGAGGATGAGAAGAACTCACTGCCTCCTTCTGCTCCTCGTCATGCTCGCTCTCAAAGTAGACGTCGAGGGCTCCGATGACTGCGCAAGAGTCAAAGGGAAGGGATTGTGACGGTTTCATCGTGCGAGCCTTGAGGGTCGTCGTCCGTTAGCATGTTCTTGAGCAAGCTCTCGTCGTCCTGAAATGTAGAGTCATCGAAGTCACTGTGAGAGGAGGCAAAGAGAACAGAACAGAGAGCAGGGAAAGGAGGAGAAGGACAGTAGGAGTAGGAGTAGGAGTAGGAGTAGTGTCCTCCTTACCGCATTTAGAAAGTTCTGCTGCATCAATCTTTCCAGTATTCTCTGAGACAACAGGATTGGTTCACATTGCAAGTCGGGAGATCAAATGGCAAGAGACCTCGGGCTGCAACTCGCGCTGCTCTCCGTTGGACTTTGCCTTGGGGTCGGGACCTTGCGAGGCTGTCAAGGGTAACGTCCATTGACGGTCACAGAGAGTTCGAACCTGATACCAACGGCTCCTGCTCGTTGATAGATTCCTGTCGCGATGAGTAAGTAGAGAATGGAGAAGAGGAACGGGGTATCGTGGTGGTGGTGGTGGTGGATGAGCAGAAGCAGGAGAGAAAAGGAGTGTCGGGTTAAAGAAGTACCCTCTTGTTGTCTTGTGAACTACTGCCCTCTTCCTCCTCCTCGCCGTTCTCGCTCATTCGCTTCTTCTTGAAGAAATTTTGAATTCTGTTCATGACGACGGCCATGATGAGCCCGAAGGCGAAGCAGGCGATGGGAGCGAAAATGATCATTCTGATCGAGTCTGTCGATGAAAGCATCAGCGTGGAAGACATGCGGGATATCCTTCAAGGGCGACGACGAGGATGGGGAGAAGGCGAGGAGGAGGGAGGAGAGAGACTGGAGGAGGGGAGCAAAGAGGTTGGAGGAGAGGAGGAGCGAGAGAGGCTGAAAGAGAGGATGGAGCAGGAAAACCTTGATTCGAGCGTGAAACGCCGAAGACGGGGATGGGAGCGATGGGAAAGACTCGGCGCCAGTTGTTGTTGACCCAGACTTCCATGGTGCCGTTGTCAGCTGAGAAAGGATAGAAGATGATCTCATATAAGCCCGAATCCTGCGCGACTTGCCGGACGCCAACCTGGCAATAATCATGAACATGTAAAAAATAGAGGGAGGAGGGAGGGAGGGAGGGAGGGAGGGAGGGAGGGAGGGAGGGAGGGAGG